GGTTCATTTAGAGGGGAACACAGGGTCTCCAACAGTTTGTAAAAACCACCTTTACTAGGACAATCCTGAATAAAACACCAACGTTTTACTCACCCTGCCCTGCCCAGTTCTGGTGTGAATCACCAGTCCCTATAAATGCTACAAATCCCTTCCCTTTTTAAAGATGGAAAAGAAAGGAAATTTTGGATCACTACTGTATGTTGACTTCTTTTAAAAAATAAATCTACTGTTTTGTAACCCTTTACAACCTATTAGTTCATTCCTCATTTATTGGCAATGTTTATCTGTCACCTGCTGTTAAGTTAAAGGTTAATTTTCAAGCCATACCAACACCAAAATGCAATTTAAAAAAATCTCATTGCTAAGAAAGCAATTTCTGAATAGCAATGCTTAAATTATTTTTGCACTCAACGAGCCAGTAATTTTTCTGCTGCAGAACTAATAAGTAATCTGCACAGTGCAGGTTCAGAAGCAGATTCTGTCACTAACAGTACTGTGTGACAAACATGCTCAAGGCAAAAAGGTCAGGAAAACAAAGTGATTGAGTTCTTCTTAAGAGGTATTTTGAAGAAGTCATCTGATCCAACAGCACGTGTGACCAGGGAGTTCTGTAGCTCAAACAGTTCCCCCAAGAATGGTCCTAATTAATTAATTAATTAATCAATCTGACATTTGCCAAGCAATTAGGAATGGAAATAATATTCAAGACAGTGGCCTTTTCTTCACCTTAGCACAGGTTTAACTACTTTAAAACTTAAAGTGTGTTTAGGACTTACTCTGAAGTAATCTCTAGAGAATAGAGAAGCAATGCAGAGCTGGAGACCACAGCACCATCAAGGCCCATTGGTGTAACAAATAGGAATGACAGGGATTTTCCATGTGCACCCTCACTTGCAGCTGACTGCAGCACCTGCCATGCCAAGCAGTTTGGGAGCAATTTTCATAATAATTAATCTAGGGCTGCAGCAGACTGCTTTTCATGTCCCTACAAAACACAGAGGAGCTTTACTCATCTGCAAAATGGACTCCAAAAGTAGGGGAGCAGTGTAAGAAATGTGCTTCCTCTCCTGCCTGGCCTGACAGAGCATTAAGGATTCAGGTGTTCTGCTGTAAACTTGGCCAAAAGGAGCCCAGGGCAGGTAAGACACAGCAGGACAGCACCCTGGGAATCAGGGATGCTGAATCTATGCACAAGAGAAAAATGATCAGCTTTGGCTAAGTGCCTGGTACAAAGATTTGGGTACCTGCACATGGGGAGGGAAATGCTGTGGCAGAAATCCGGAATTTCCAGTGCAAAAAGTTGCAACTCACAGCAAAGTGAATCCTTTGATATCAAATTATGTATTTTGCATTACTGTAAATATTTAATTTAATGTATGTGCACAGGTTGCATTAATTTATACTCATGGAAAGCATTCTTTATTTCAAATGCAGATGCCACGTGCGTGTTCCATTTATCTCATCCAAGTTATTTCCTAACAAATACCTTGGTATCCAAAAGCAGTAGCCATGAACTGCATGCACCATGACATGCCAGGTATAACTTTAAAAGGTAGACTTAGCTCTCATTAATGCTGCCATTTAAACATGCAAAGTTGGTTTTCAACAAATGATGCTGTAATTTGTTGATTATGCTGTAATTATGCAGTCTTGTTTTGTTTTTCAGCTATAACAGACTGGGCATGCCAGCTGTTCCCATCACCAGCCAGCTCAGAACTGCCCAGGATCTACAGAGAGGAAAAAGTACAAAAGGTCCCTGTGTTAATGCCCTACTGAACCTGATGCTGTAGGATAAGGAGCTTTATGCTTAACTGGAAGGACAAGGAACAATTTCATCAGTGAGATCTAATACTACAAACCTACTTCAGCAATGTCCTGGATGGGCATGTCTGTGTTATCTGTGGTCCCAATACCTCAGTCAACTGGAGAAGGAGAAAAGATGATCCTCACTGAGGGAAGGAGAGGATATGAATCACAACTGGCTCAGTGCCAAAGGGGAACAAAGAGAAAATGTTCAGTCTCAGCATTTATCCATTGATAAAGTGTCAGGTGTGGGCATCAATGCTTTTGTAATTTGGAGATCTGCCCAAGAGGAGCTTCACAGATCAGCACCTCTTTCAAAAATTTACTCCAGATTTACTGAGAAAATACACGTATTTACAAAATCATATCACAGCTTCCTGCTCAGAAGAGGACCAGCCTGTTCTCTATATTGGGCATTTTCACTGGAAAACCCCAGCTTGTCCACTTCCCCTCTCATGAACCTCCCAGAGGCACCCAAAATATTTGATGCACCAATTGAAACATCTGTATCAGAAAAACCTGATCAAATCCTACATGGAATTCTATGGCAACACCACTGACTTCAGTTGGGATATGTGGATGTGAACCAGCACAGGAGGCAGCATGATCCATATGCAGAGAATGTCCTTCTTTTAAACAAATCCTTGCTGATAATTAACACAGATTTACCTGCAGGAAGCTCCCTCCAAGGGGATGCCTCAGTGAGGCAGAAAGAGGATACCACTCCTTAAGCTCAACCATCCTGGACTTTTTCAAAAAGAAATTGGCACGCTGAAAAAAAAGCATTTTGCAGGAAGAGACCATTGCCATTGCAGTACAAGCACTTGGACTGAGATACAACAATACAATATTCTTCTGAGTTCATTAGTGCAAGTTTCCACATGTGAACCCCACACGGAATGCTGCACATGAAAAATGTAAACAACAGAGAAATTCTAATTCTCACAGGTGTGCCAGCCTCACCCCCACCCTGACACACCCACCCTCCCCCCTTCATATAAATGGTTTTCAGCTCCCTTATGGTTCACAACATCCTCCTCAACATCCATCCTGCTGGACAGCACAAGGAGGCTTCTCCACCAGCAAGGAAGAGCCAGAAGAACAGCTACCACAATTCCTAGAAACCTAGAGTGAGCTGGGCAAAAAACCCCTCAGTACACCATCTTCAGAGACCAACAGCAAGAGCCTGGAGATCATCAGGCTTTTAAAAGGTATTCTGGACTAGAGGAAAAACCCTTTATTACAGATGGAATCCCCATGAGAGAGTTTTCCTTGGAGCTGAAACCAAATGAGGATCCAGTGCTCCAGATGAGTGGCAGCTAGCAAGAATAACTTGTCACTAATTTTGTCAACAGCATCAATTGCAAGCCCATGCCATATTTTCAGATAACTTCTCTTTTAGGTGAAACTGGCTGGGAAGGAAGCAACAGAGAACAATGAAACCCCAAAGGCGCCTCTGGAAAGCTGCTATCCCCATTCCATAGCCAAAGGTGAGGAGGCAGGAGCTGCCAGGACCTTTGTTTTGAGAGAGAAGACTCAGAGGGCCAGTCTGTGAAGGCACTGAGCACCCTCATTCTGTGGATGTGATGTCAGAAGAAGGTGCAAATGCACAATGCCATCTAAGACCAGGTATACTGTGTGCTCTGCTGCAACAAAACAAATTCAAAGCACTGCACTGGAGTCCAAGAGGAGTTAACAATATCCTAGGCTGCCCCTTAAACCACACAAATAATGTTTTCACTTGATTAATAATCTCCCTGTCAAAACCACCATGGTGAGGCTGATGGGAGAAGGGGCTAAATATGACAATATACAAAAATAGAGATGTGAATATAAAATGGTTTGGTTAAGAATATCTTAAAATTTGACATTCACAGCGGTTAATACTTAAGTATTAAACTCACACCACGCAAAAGAGGAGGTATGTCAAAATCATACTGAGAAAAACTGGCTTTACCTAACACAAAGAAAACATGAGCAGTTAATACAGCAGGGGAACCCCCTCCAATGATCAAAACATCTATTTTTCTTATGGACAGTTGTTCCACTGAAAGTTAAATGCTTCCTTACTAGGAAAAAATAATATATATATATTTATATATATGATTTGTATACTGTGATATCAATATACACTGAAAGTACTGCAAGGATATATTATTCATTTACAGTAAAACTAACAATCCATGGTTAAATTTATAGATTATAAATATGCTGTCTATATTATATGTGGTATAAAAATATTTGACATTTTGTGGGCACTAGGTCAAAATAAGATTTTCTTTTTTAAGGGACTAAAAATCATTCAGGTATATGCATATTACCCTTGTCAATGATGTGAGAATTGTACTGACCTGGTACAAAACAGAGTCCTACCATGCTGGCAAAATGAGGAGGGTAATGTATAGCATGATTAGCGTGATAATCACTGCATGACAAGGCTAATTAGGAGAAAACCCGGCATTTACAGCAGCCCAGTTCTAGCAGTACTTTAAATAGAAATATCATGAATTTAAGTGACACGGGCAGGAAGAAAGGATGAAGAAAAGACAAGGAAACCTAACTGGGATTAAAAACCAAATTTTAAGATACAGCCAACAAAAATAACTGAAATTCCAGAAGAGGGGAGAAAGCTTTAAACGCTCTCATTTGTTAAACGCATTAAGGAAAAACAGAGGTGCATTGATTTAAAAAAGTGTGCAATTGATTTTCTGGATTCACTGCTACGACTGCTGTATTCCTGTAGAAAACAAAGCCCTTTGTGTAAGGTTAATATCTGTCCTGACTGCATTTTCAAGTTTAACTTTAGTTGCTGGCCCTCTGCAGTTAACATAGAGGTTATTTGGCTACTTCCAAGTATCTATGGTATGCTGCTCTGAGACGGACTTCTTTATTATTAATTACTTTAAACATTTTTGGTATTGACAAAACCCACGTATCACCTCACCGGACAAGAAACACATCCCAGTCCTTCCATTTCCTTATGTGCTCAGTCACTTCACTGGATTAAGGCATGATTTTGTGTTCCATTTGCAAAAATAAAAACTTTTTGTACAAACGTCTGGGTTCTTTTTATACAAAAATTTCATTTCTTCTTATGGCACAAGCAGCAGCTGCTGTTTAAGAAAATATATAAATATCCTTTTTTTTTTCTTTTTTGTTTGTTTTTTTTTTTTTTTTTAAATTCTTCTGTACAAATATCTTCAGTGCTCCTCCTCCTCCCCGCATTACCTGTACACGCTCGGCTCCCTCCCCCCGTCCCCGGCGGAACCTTTCGTATTTACAGCGCGGCGGGCTCGGGGCGGGGGGGCCGCGCCTCAGGACGAGTCGGTGCACGGCGACGGCGGCGGCGGGTACAGGTGGTGCGAGTAGCTGCGCTCCGTGTACGGCGACGGCGGGCAGCTCTCGCAGTTCTCCTCGGCGGACAGGTACTGGCTGCGGGGCGTGGGCGGCGGCGGCACCGGCTCCGAGTCGTAGTTGAGGTCGCTGGTGTAGCCCTTGGCGGCGGCTGAGGCGGCGCCGGGCGGGCGGCGGCTCGGGCCGTAGTCGCTGTCGCACACGTCCGTGCTGCAGGGCGTGGTGGGCGGCGCGAAGTGCCGGTAGCTGTAGGGCCGGTAGCTGTGAGGGGACACGGAGCGGGGGAAAAAGGTCAATGTCGCTTTCTCAAGGTGGAAACAAAGTGATAAATACAGGGTGACCTCTGCAGTAATGCACGGCATCTCTGTCTAAACTTCCCTGTGTGAAAAATGCATGTATTTTATGATTGGCTTTTCACAAATATTAAAATGAATGTTATATGTGTTGTGTTAGTGTGGAGAGCCATGAAGGTATACAGCTGAGGGAAAAGTAAAAAAGGTAGTTGTAAAGCAATTCCCAGGCTTGATTCTATAAACAATTAGGCTCTCTCAAGCACCACTTTATAAACAATAAGATTCTCGGACAGTCTTCCCATAGCAGGCAAAACACTCTGTCCTTGGGCTCTTTGGGAAAAGATAGCTACTCTGGGAGCAGATGGAGGTTTTGGGAACTTTTCATATCACAGTGAGAACGCTGTCCTGTTTTCAATAAAAAAATCATAGGTATTGTAAAACAAAGGGAGGGGTTAGAGTTTTCTCTGTTAACCTATCGTGAGCTTGGATTTTGCAATATGCATGAAGTTAATTAACACTGTTATATAAAGTGGCTGATTGATCAATAAATCAGAGTTTGATGCATCACCAGGATGGTCGTCTCCCCTTCACTTCAATATGTTAGAAAGTAATGCTGTATTAATTCCCTGAAGTAGTGTGTAAAATCTAATTTTAGGTTAAAAAATGTTAAAATAAAAACTATGTTATGTAGGATATTTTTTATAAAGTAAGGACTCGCAGTGAGATAGCAGCCACAGGACACCTAAATCTTTCAGAGAAAAAGAATTTATTGCTCGATTATCAGAAGAAACGAACTTCTTCCCGCCTCGAAGGCGCTGTTAGGATTCAGAGGAAGAAATTGACGATGACCAGACAGAATCCTGTGTTTGAATGGAATTTATGCATCATGTATGAGGTGTATGAATATGCAACAGGCTATTGTTTTTAAGGGTTAATCCTTTGTTACCGTGTGTCCTTTTTCGGGCTCATGCTGCCCAGAAAAAGGTACCTGGGTGTCCATAACTCTTTGTCTCTATTGTCTCATATTGTCCTAATTCAATTTGTCCAAATTATTATTACTCTAGTTGTATTACTATTTTTATAACCATTTTATTACTATTAAACTTTTAAAATTTTAAAAACAAGTGACTGGTGTTTTTCACACCTGCAGAAGTGCTACAGTGTTGGGCTTTACTGGTAGAAAATGAATTTTGTGCTCCAGACTGCTGGGATTGGACAGTGGGTGTAAGTATTCTGTTATCATGTTTGGGTTCATTTAATCCATAATGCTGTGGGCTTCTCATCCCTGGAGGTGTGCCAGGCCAGCCTGGACAGGACATGGAGTAACCTGGTCTAGTGGAGTAACCCTGTCTAGTGGAAGATGTCCCTGCTCATAGCAGAGGGTGGAACTGGATGGGCTGGTCATTCCCTCCCAGCCACAGCATTCTGTGATGCCAAGATCACTGCAGAGCCCAGGTTTGCTAAGTGCTTCCCAGTCTCCAGCTGTTCCCAGTGACCCTGGCACTGCTCAGAGATGCAAGGAGCAGCACCTGTGAGAGCTTGTGCCTGGGAACAGTCTCTCACACAGCAGGCTCCCTAAGGACTCAGGTAGAAAAATATAATAGCTGTGTTGCAATTATGGAGATAATTCTGTTTCCATTACACAGTTTCTGGATACTAACTTCCAAAGCCAGACAGAAGGACTGAAAATTACCTGGCACATTCATAGCACTCAGGAGAAGCATTCCTTAGAGAAAGAAGTAACTGGGATGAAATTCTCAAAGGCTGCTACCACAAAACATCTTTTAAAATGAGCCCAAGACAGTTTCAAGGAAACAAATTAGAAGGGGAAATGTATGGTAACTACAACTCCCAGCATCACAGTCAGGGGATGCAGCTCCTCTATAGTCAAGTCAGAAAATTAGGAAAGAAGATCAGAAGCAGCAAGAGCAGTGTTTATTTTTGGGTGAGGGAGCATTTGGAAAATATCAAATTCTCTGCTACATCCCTAATATAATTTATAATACTGAAAGTCACATCAGCTAACCAGCAGATGACCCATGCTGGTGCCTGAATTTGGTTTCTTTCATTAGAAAATTACTTGTAATTTTGAAAGATTTTTCATATGGCTGCGAGGGATCATTATAAACATCTGGTCTGACCTTCTGCACAACAGAGGCCACATTTTCTGCTAATGGAGAAGAGATGTCTGCTCAGCCCCAGAGACCTCATTACCCAGAGCCCCCAAAGGCTCTGTGTTAGGGAGGCACATCTTTCAGACAAACACAGCACACTCTTCACACTGACCACATCCACTGATGATTTGGGAGGGAAACCTTTACACCCTTGGGTAGCAGTGGTCTGTTGCTCTATTTTTGGTAACTTGTTATAAAATCATAACTAACTCCAGCATTCTCACAGGGAAAGTAAGAAAAATACATTCAAACAGAGATAAAATGCGTGCTCATAAATAATAGTCAAGAGAAAATAAAGCAAAAGGTCAGCAATCTTTTCCAGATATTAACCCTTCATGTGTCAAACTAGAAATTCTATGCTTTATCTAGACAACAACATTAATGTTACTTATAACTTATTAGCCTTTATATTGCCAACTTTTTCTCAACAGAGTATTTGCTTATAATTTCTGATAATTACATAACAAATTATTTATAGCAGAAGCCTAAAAAAGGCAGAGTTCACTGCAGGGTAAGTTTTTTTGGCTCAAAATACTCATGGCACTGCATTTCTTTTGGCATGTAGCTAGTTTTGTGATGAGGAATTTACCCCAGGGATGTATTACTACCCCCTTAGTGTATGATTTACCTCAAACAGTGCTGCACTTCCACACAGGCAGCAGTGCCATAGTACAATTTAAGCACCAGTTTAGTGCTTGCAGAATTAGGGCCTTTGATTGCAATTCTTACAGAGCAGAGGCTGCCTTTATTCTGCATTTTCTACACTAACTGCTTTGATCCTGACAGAAGCTATTGTAGTAGTAATTACCTGTAGGATCTATGAGTGGATGGGCTGTTTGAAGAATAACCAAATTCCATGGTGTAGTGTGAACGTTCAGTGGCTGGTGATGGTGGTGGGTTCAAAATCTAAGGAGTAAGAAAGGAAAAAAGGCACTTTAAAAAAAGAAAGATACAAAGGGAACTCGAGAAAACACCAGTTTATAGCTTTTAGTACAGTCTAATAGGAACCTTAAGTAAAGAACTGCATATCTAGCACTCCCAGCAAAGAGGATTTTTTCCTGTTTATTCCCCAGCTCTTAAGCAGACCCTGGAAATGCCATTTGTTGCCTTTCCTGTTAGTTACTACTAAGCTCTTCTCAAAAATATTGACTCCTTTGGCCATTTTGACACAGCCAGTGCTGAGAAGTAAAGCTGCAGCAGGCTGTTCATTCTGGATTGTCACTAGGGCCACCACTGCCCCAGGCAGACTGGCAGATCTCTGCCCCTGCCAGCTGCAGTCCCCAAGTATTGCTCTGCTTACAACACTTGCAGAGTGCTGGCCAAGGCAAGCATTCCTCCCCTATGCAGGCATGTTCTTACTCCATGTGTCTGGATTAATTTAAAGCTGATTTAAAGCCTGATCAGTTGATTCTCAGAACTGAAAACCAACAATTGGAGATTCCAGCCTTCACTGACCAAGCATGGGACTCTTTAACACTCAACAGAAGCTTGGTGAGCTCCATAAAAATTCCCAAACCAAGCACCAGAGATGCTAGAAGTGAAGAGACAGGGAGCCCTCTAGGGCTGGCACCAACTGTTATGTGATGGAGGGATGTTACAGAGCTGCAAAACACTTCTTTACTTATTTACCTGTCGCTTGTGAGACACATGACACAAAGCTTCATTTTAATTCCTTGAAAGGTCTATACAGAATCAACCTTAATTTTACCTTCAGAGGAACATGGCAGAGCATAATGAAAGGAGATCTCTCTGCCAGAGCTGCTCAACATCTACAGGGATTTTTTCATCTCTCCTGACATTCAATCTAATATATTTCTTCCTGGCACTGAGCTCTCTCACAATTTTTTTTAATTAAGTGAAAATTTCTAGACCATTTTGGAAAAAAGACAATCCTCTTCCCTTTCAAAGTCACTTACTCCATATCCAAACAAGTTTATTAGACTAGAATTCTAAATCAAAACATGAATCTGTCAATTGATTAACCTTTAGAAAGACAGTGTCACTTCCCTGAAAGTTGTTAAAGGTTTATGAACAACAGAATGACTTACTGGAGGAAAGTAAGTGCCTTTGGTACTTGAGGAACTGCTGGAGGAGGCTCCTGTAACATGGGCCCTGTCATAGGGTGGGCCACTGCTCCCTCCCATGATGCTGAGGGAGCTGATGACAGATTTACCTCGAGACATACCTGAGGAACAGAGATGTATGTCAGTATTCAATTCTCCTCAACTCACAGACAAAAGGAAGCTTAAAAAATAATCTGGAGGACAACAGCAGTATGTTGTCCTTGCAAGCCCAGAATTAATTATCTTGGTATTAAAACCAAGTTATGCTCTGAGAGCAGCCTGCTGGATCTCAAAGCCATAAGTTACAGGACATATTTCATCAATATATGCAGAAGCAATGCATGTAGATGAAGTGAAATGTTGTGGTTAAGTTTTACTTTTTAAACAGCAGTAGCATCATGTGTTTGGACTGGTATTGGAAAATTCATCGTTAAATGAAATAAGCTGAGACCAAAGTTATGGCTGATCATTACAGACTTGGCAAGAAGTCTCACCAGCATACAAACCTAGACTGCAGACCTACCAAGAATGATTACATAATGTTTAAATCCCATGAATATAACTCTGTGTAACTTTACCCTGTACTGTTGTGAATCTTTGCTGGTGCTACAATAGGCCAAAAAGGGCTATTTAGTACAAAAGAAGAAAATGCACAGTGTGTGCATTTATTTAAGCATAGGTTCTGCAAACTACCTAAATGCTTGGGTAAAATAGCAGTTCATTATTGTGAAGAAGGATGGCAACAAGCCTTGGCAGTCCTGGCTTCCCACAGCTTCCAAGAACTGCATCTGGAGCAGACATTTCCTGCACAGAGCATCCTCAAGTACAGCTGTGGGGTGCCAGGGACAAGGATCACCCCTTTACTCACCAGGCAGAGAGCCTGACAGGGAGCTTGGGTGAGGCACGTAGCCCAGAGGCACCGAGGGTGGCCCCTGCACCACGTAGTCGTTGGTCATGGTTTCCCCATCGCCCTTCATGCGTGGGCACAGCACCCTCTGGCAGATGAAGTACATTGCTCCCACCACAAACACTGTAAGGATCACACCAATGATGGAGCCTATGGTGTTGTTGGGCTGTGGGGCAGGTTCCTCCGTTGTGTCTGAAAGGGAAAAGGAAAATCAGACCGTGGTAGTTTAGACCAACATTAGTTTTTCTTGCATCTTTCCACTTTCCTCTTCTGTAGGTAGACAAAAACTTTCAAATTAATATATGGGAGGAACAAACAGGCCCTAGGACAGGTCTGTTCTGAGTGTCTATAAGGGCTACCTGCAGCCTCCAAGATGACCTCCAAACATGCCATGAGGTTTTTTGGATCACAAATGACAGGAAATGAGCAGTAAGCACATGCATGTGCAGGGGGAGTGATGGGTGTACTCTTGCTTCAGGCTGACAGAGCTTTCCTTTGAACTTGATGAACAAGACCTGCAGCCATGTCTCCAGATGACACTGTGCAGGGGACTGCTCTCGTGCTTTTCTTGTCACTGAAGATGGCAACAACTGCTTTTCACGTCACCCTCGGCTATCACAGTAACAGACTGGCACTCCCTTTTCTCAGCAGTGTAACAATCACTCATGGTGCACCACCTTCACTGTTCAGCAGTGATGAATTTGGGCACTGCTGCTGGTTATTAAGCTATCTAAAGTATTCCACATCTCACCCACCCTTCTGGTTACAGATACAGCTGAGCATCAGCCTGAGAAGTGCCACCTTATGAGGAATCTGCACCCAAAACAATTATTCAACAGTCAAAATGAGTGGCTTTCCCTACAAGACCAGTTCTAAGCAATGACAATTCTGGGAGTAACTGACAACCCCCTGCCTGTGCTCATGAATTTGTCAAGAAAGGCAGACTTTAAAGTATTTTCTGTTCTAGTCAGTGTTTTACATCTTAAGCATTACTGAAAGTTTTTTTCTCTACACATTTTCTTCTCCCTGAACACCAAACCCACACTTGAACCAGCTTGTCACAGTCTACAGAGATAAGTAAACAGACTTCTGATCATAGTGAAAGAGGGATGGTGACAACTGCCATCTTATTCTGGGTGGGCCAATTTTCCATCCTCTGTTAAAAAGCTGGAGAACATACAAACTCTAATAAAGGGAAGTAGACAAGCCTGTGATAATGTCACTAGTGACTTGGTAGCATGACAGAACATCTCTTAATACTCCTTCTTAAGATCAAGGGTACAACTCTGGCTTTGCATTTTCAAATTATCTGTGTGCCAGCTGTGATACATGGATCTCTAAAACAAGACAAGATGTCCCTATTTACAATTTCTTTAAAAGCACCAACAGTGAAAGTGAACTTTCGAGTTGGAATTTTAAAGACAGTGGCTTTCTTGTAGAGCCCTGGAGATTTCCAGGTAGGGATATCACATGTTACAAATCAGAAATCAAGCTCAGAATTACATCCTTTCAAGATAAAAAAAAAGAAATTTTAGAAGATTTACTCTATAAACAGAGTGCTCCTCTGATTCTAAAAGCACCTGCTATTAATTCTCAGGATGAGAAAACCATGAAGCAGAGAAGTTATAGATGAATGCCTCATGCCAATAGATATTTTTTAACATTGCATCAACTCAGCATATAAATATTATAGTAAAACAAACCTTTGATTTCTTTTAAAATTTAAAAAATAAGAAGAAAAACGGCAGGCATTCTCTGCCTCAGAAACTACTTGTTCAGAATACTAATTATTTTTGTTATTCCTATTCCACCACATTGTGCATTAATTGCATGACAGCAGTTATGAAGCATTAATTCTGGGAACCACTAATTCAGTCTGCTTGGCAGAATAAAATCAAACTCATAGGAAAGGTGAGAAGCAAATTTTGCATGCTGCAAGCAAGTCTCCAGTCTGAGGCAGTACACTTACAGCATCCTTGCTCATCAGAGCTGTCACTGCAGTCCAGGTTGTGGTCACACTTCTTGCTTTTCCCGATGCACTGCCCACTGGCACAGCGGAACTGATCCGTTAAACACAGCACTGCAAAGAGCCCCACACCAACAGTCAGCACCAGAAACTGCTCTTGAAAATCATTAAGAAATAAAGACACCAAAGCATACAATCAGGAGTATCTTGGGAGAGCTTGGAGTGCTGCAAGCTTCATTTCTGGAAGTGGCCAGTGGCACACAAATCCCTCATGTGAGCCATGCAGAGCAAGTGACTCAGTGTTCTGTTGAGGATGGTGCACACTGGTACCTGGGCTTTACTGCCTGCCCACAGTAAGAGCACTACAAGATAAAGTGACCTCCATCTAAAATCCCTCAGAGGCCATTGAGAAGACAGGCACTTATCTCAGGACATGGTTATTGCAATATTACTATAAGGATCTCCAAATTCAAGCATTTACTGTAATATAAGAGAGAAGAATTAAGTTATGAAAAATAAATCTGCCAAACCATGATAATAAAATTGTTTAAGAAAGATAAATGTCCTTCTTAATGTCCTTGTGCTCTTCCTGTAAACCAGAGAAATCCTCAATCATGAGACAATATATTGACTTGATATTATGTTTTTAAACTGAAATGAAGGTCAAAAAATAAAACCGAAGCTTTGCCAGTACACTGAAAAAATAAAAGGTGCTGCAGGCAAGATGTTGGCTGCTGCTGTTTCCACATATTCCTGCCTCCTGTTTCTCATAAATCCAGAAATCCTTTTTTGTCTTCAGCTGAATTAAGAAGTTAAAGTAAAGGCTTTTCTGATTTGTAATGAACTTGAATACTCTCAGCAAAAGGACCCCTTTGAAGGTGATAAACAGCCCCTAGTCTGCCATCTCCAGTTGCTGAATGACAACTGGAAGTTAACTTGCACAACAGATTTTCAGATGTCAGCATCTCAGCTGGCTAATAATCACCTTTCAGCACACAGGAATTTCAGCTCTATGGTTTTGTTTGAGTTGTAGCACATCTTTTGGAAAGAAATTTAGCCTTGATTTAAAGTCATTTCAACAGTCTCCCCAAAGAAGGAAAATGCACTGAAAGGATATAAAGAAGAAGCATCCTTTCAAGCTTACAAGCTGTCCCTACAACTCTTCACTACATTTGCAATAGGGAAAGGATCAGTTTGCTCAGATTTCATGTTCTGTAGTGGTGGGGCAGTTCAGATTCTCCAGCAAAACCTGTCCTTTCCAAAATGAACTTAATTCTCATTGTGCTGGCAACAGCACTTCCCTCTGTAAAGACAGCTTAAATACTCTCTTTTGCTGTGCTCTACAGGAAGAAGAGGTCTCCAGAAATCTCCTCTGTCTCTCACTCCTGCTTGCTCAGAAAAGCTCATTTTGTTCAGGTATTGTAAAATAAACAACCCCAAAACCTTTACTCGGTACGAGGCACACAAAAAGCTGTGACAAGGATTTACTCCACTTTGTATTTCACTCCCAGATACTAGGTTTTTAGAGCTTGAAATCGTGCCATTTTTGATAGGACTTTTCACAAACAGCATTTAAGCCACTCTGCTGGAGATCACTCTTAATTTCCACTTCACAGGTAGAGAAACAAAAGTATGGAGTTATGAAATAACTTCTATTTAACAGACCAGTTTAAAAACTAGCAGAACTTTGGATCTTTTCAAATCCTACTCAGCAGTAACACTGCTACTCATCCCTGTCCCTGTGACAGGCACATTCCCATCCCACTTGGCAGCACCCCCCGTACCTTCGCAGTTCTTCTCATCTGAGTTGTCCTGGCAATTGGCTTCCCCATTGCAGCGCAGGGCACTGTCTATGCACTGCCCACTCTCACACTGGAACTGGCTCTCAGAGCACACTGGGCAGTTCTTCTCGTCACTGTGGTCCTCACACTCGGTGAAGCCATCGCAGCGCCAGGCCACCGGGATGCAGTCAATCTCACCTGTGAAACAGGTGAACTGCTGAGGGGAGCATGTTGGTGGTTCTTGGGAAATCAAGCAAACAAACAGAAGTTAAGAATCCAGGTGAACAAAGAGAAGGACAGGTAAGGACGAGAGCTCAGCTGCTTTCCTATATCAAAGTCAAGGTCACTTCCACAGCCACTGTGTTCACAGCCACTTTTGCAGACCTCGAGGCCAGTGTGACTGATGCAGGCTCACAGCAGCAGAGGCTTGACAGACGAAGAACAAGAGGAACAGAGAAACATGCACACTCAAAACACAATTCTTCCCTTCCCATTTCAGACTCTCACACCTTTCTCATTGGAAGATTTCATGTCAAAGTCATTGCACTCTTCAACTCCCCCTTTGCTGCAGCACCACTGTGTACACAGCCAATGGCTTACCCTCTTTTTCATGCTTGACAGTCATTGTATAGAAGATGTTAAAAGGATGTAATTTGCTGCAGATGGATGCACTGTGTGACTCAGTGTCTAGTTATGTGCCCTTCACAGCTCTATTCAGTCAAAATTATTTTAAAACAAAAAACTGCTCCATCTAGTCAAGTTCCACTACCTCAACACATCTGTTAGCTGTTATTTAACATTTACTACATTAACTGTTAATCTCAGGCAGTAAGGAAGTGTGGATCTTTTCCCTTTTTTTAATCTCCCTTTCCTCCCACGGCTTTTTGGCCTGGTATTAAACTTGCTCTGAGAAAATATCTGGATTATGTTAGCTCTTGTTCCATTGTGAGACCACACGTCGCCTCGATGGCGAGATGATTGCACAATAACCCCATTCAGCCCAGTGGCACCAAAGTGCCCGTCCTGGCCCCCATTCCAGCCCCACCCCAGAGACACCAGGGCGTGGGCTACAGTGGCCATGGCAGGAGGCAACTCGCCCTTCTGGGGCTGCAGTTCAGAAAGACACGCACAGGGTGAGCTTGGGGAGGACAACAGAGAAGATCAGAACAGCACAGACTGTGCAGTGTGCCAGAATGTGAGAATCCACCACTGCCTGAAAAGGCAGAACATGGGGAGTGACAGCAAAAAGTAATGAAAATCATACAATTAAAGAATCAAGTTGAAATAATTCAACTTAAGTTGAGTCTTAAGTAGAAAGAGTGAACAGAAATCCTTATTCAGCAGTTAGGGATTTTTTCCCTCTTCCTTTGCTTCTTCTCAATACTTGCAAATTTAGCTGGAGGGTGGAGGGAAAGAGGTGAGTCTGTACAGGTGTGTAACAGCACCTGGTGCACTGGAGGGAAAGAGGTGAGTCTGTACAGGTGTGTAACAGCACCTGGTGCACTGTCACATTCCTTGGCTCAGAAGCCATCCCTGAAGATGGAGACACTCCCCAAGGCTGAAGCCAAGAGCTCAGGGACACAGAAGTGGGGAAGGACTCACCTCCACAGGACAGCTCATCCTGCAGCAGCACCAGGTGCACGGGGCAAGAGCAGCGCGTGGAGCCGTCCCCCTTCACAATGCAAATGTGGGAGCAGCCACCATTGTCCTGAGAGCACGGATGCTGTCCTAGGATTTTAAAAATGAGACAGGGACTGATAAGAAATCCCCAACTATTTTATGACCTTTCAGTCATTTCTTCATTACCCGCTACCCCCTGGGGAGAGGATTAATGAAAAAATCTCTGGTAATGTTGTATTTTGTTGTGTGTATTTCTTTATACACATCTAAAATCATACATGACTAACTCTCCATGATCTGAAACTACTCTAAGAATTTATACTAAAACAGTACTCAAAGCATTTTACTTCTTGTGTGAGGTAGCAGTAGTTCTCTGCAGCAAATGGCACCATTAATAACACAAAAAGATATCTTGGATTCCCTACTTCATTTTCTCTACCAAAGACCATTAAAAAAATAAACTTTTCTAATTTACGAATTCTGAAGCTTCCACACAATCTCTGAAACTCAAATTAACATGCTCTAGATAAATATGTCTCTTCATTTTAATGTTTAATAAGGACAACATACTTCTCTTGGAACTCCTGACAGATTTACTGAGATTAATAGCACACAAAACTAGTAGTAGTCTGCACTGATGTTTTAATTAAACATCCCCAGACATTTTTCTACATATTTCTCCAAGGCATGCACCAGAGCCTACTAACCAGGCCTATTTCCTCCAGGATGACAGCAACTCCACTGCTTTAACCATTCATCTCCCACCACTTCAAGCATGTGTGTGTGGAAAGGTAAGCAGAAACTTTTTATAAGTGCAGCCATGACCAACACAAATTGCTATTTAATACACACTTCCTTTGTGCAATTGCTCCTCTGTCAATTCACTTTCAGTATGAAACACCACCACCAGAAGTTGTTCACTTTGCCTTCAAGGCAGGCAATCCACTGAAACACTGACAGCTGGTGACAGGCCCTGAGAGCTGTGCTTGCCTAAACAGTGAACACCCCATAGCAATGCACTAGCACGATCCAGAGAGCCCTCTGTTAGGGATAACAGGATGTTTCCACTGTGTCTAGAGACACTCAAATGCCAGGTGCCTGCCTGGGACTACCAATCAAGTTGTCATCAGCAACAAAACACGATGTTGGCGTTGTGATAGATCTCCAGTCCGTTGCCAAGTGCCTGAAGGAAACAACCTAACAGCACCGATACCAGCTCCTCACCCCCTCCATCTGCACTGATGTGGATCAGCAACAAGGCACAACAGGCTCGTGTCTCTTGGCTCCAGTCTCACAGGCCCTGCTTGCACCTGCAGGCAGGGATTGCACTCACTGTATTCCTGCAGGTTGAGCTCCTTCACAGCATGGATGTCACTGAGTTGCGCAATGCGAGCCTGGACCTTTGTGCGTCCTTCTCGACCGGTCATATCAATCTTCTCAATCATCTGCTGCTGCCTGTCAATCCAGTAGAGCCAGTTCTCAAAGACAGTCAGGCCCACAGGCTGCAGGATATTGGAGTCTTCCAACACGATCCGGTTAGCACCTGAGAAGGGAGACAGGGCTTGGTTCAGGTAGGCAGAACTATCAGAAACATCTCCTACACCACTCACACCATTATTTTTTCACTACTTTTATGCTACTGGGTAAGCCTACTACAAAACCCCAGGCAGTTCTGGGTCCTCTGATGCAAGACCGATGCATTTTGCAGACAGATGATCAAATATTTTTTTTTCTGCTTTCACCAAGAAGACAGTTTTTGTGCTCAAAAAATATCTAATGTATTTAAGAAGCACCTGGAGTGGAGGGGCTCATCTCTCATGAGCCTTTCCAGTCTCTTATCAATATGATGGAAATCAGGAGCCCTTTTCATTATTCTTCTTTCCCTTTTTGAGAGATTAATTGCTTTGTCTTGCCATACAACAGGGAATAAGAAGATGGATTATTGGCTTCAGCTAACCCATACAAGATAAATTCCAAATGAAAGCAGGGTAATTAGGACTTCTCACATGAATGATGAGATTAACACTTCTGACTTCCTCATGTTCTTTCCTTTCAGCTACATTACCTTCACTGAGCTATTAGTGCTAAATGGGGAATGCTCCTTTCTTTCTAGCAAAGACTTTCCTGAGTTCCTTTAGCAGTCACCAGGAGCAGACAAGAGGCCTTACACCCCTGAAGAGTGGTTGTCGATTTCTGCGCCAGGTTTTCTGGCATTAAATACAGCCAAGAGCAACTGTCACATTTCATGGTTAACTCTCCACATGAATAGAACACAGCCAACAGTTGTTTTAAAGGTATCACTAAAGTCTGTCTGAAGACAGTGAAGACTTTGTAACTCACACAGAAGAAAAATGTTAGTTAAAACCTGAGGGCTCAGGAGGGAGGCTTAATCCATGCTTTCTTTATTTAACAGGATGACGTGGTCATTAACAGTCAAATATTCAGTGAGTTGATCAGATTCGGAGCACAAATTACTTGCAAAGCACATGGAATCTGCTTCAGTTTTGAGAAGCTGAAACAGAATCACACAAGTCAAGCTAAAGCTTGAAAATTTACCTCTAAATCCTGGTATTTCTGATATGTGAGCTCACTGCTGTGCTTTTTTTTCACTTCTACTACAGCAAACAACATCTTTACCTTGTTCATCCATAGAATGATTTACCATAAGTTTTAATATTTTTGTTCTGTACAACTATACTGGAGTAACTGAATACCAGGGGAAGAAAATCTGTATTAGCCACACAATATAACCTTACAGGACAGAAGACAGATGCACTTCATGATTTTATACTTCAAATAAATTCTACCTATCCTTTGTTTAGTAGCACAAAGGGGTTTTTTGCTTGTTGAGAATTTAATCAACATTATGTCAGTGATGATGACTTATAAACAAATTCAGCTCTGAAAAATGTATTTATCACCTTTTCACTAAATGCACAGAGAGCTCAGAAGTTAAGCAATTTTCCAAACATTTACCAAGCATTAAAACCTGAAGGAAAATATGGGAATTCAAATCAGCTAGGCTGAGCTCTCACCACCACTTTGGAGCAACACCAGCAATGATCTGATTAAGAAAAGATGTTGATGAATTCTGAAGGAGGTTATACCCAGACTGATGTAGAAATTAACAGACTGAGTGATGTAAGTCAACCTAAATAACTGCAACCATCTATTATAAACTCCAATAACATGACTAATTCTGTCAGGAAAAGGTAAGAAACAGAAACCTCCATCTTGAGAAATGAAGTTAAGCTGAGAATAGGGCAAAATGCAAGGAAGACAGGAAGGAATACAAAAGGTAAAACCTTGACCTATCCAAATGGAGTCTGTACATGCCCTGCTCTGCCATGCCCACATCAATCAGCATGGCATTTTGCAGTATGTTCCTAAAGCTCTGAAGCTTAATATTTTCATTCCCTTAATGTCTTAATCTTTCTTTTTAATATTTGTGACCAAGTGTAACTGAATATTTCTGACTAAACTGAGACATTAAATCCCTTCTTCCATAAACCAACAATGAAACCCGAAACTGACTCATCAGGGTGCAAGTCTCCTTTATTGGGAATGTCAGATGAAAGGGAGACATGATTAAGAGGAGCTTTGTCTCCTGGCATCACCATCCCCTTTCCAGCAATACCATTTACAAAAAGACTTAAAACCAACCAAATAAATACAGAAAATCAGGACACACCCATAGCTCATTCTGTTTCCAAATAAAAATTACTTAATTCCAGAATCATTAGACATTTCCAAATCACACTAATTATTCTGGAATAGAAGAACTAATTTCCAAATAGTTTCCATGGTAGGGAGCTAATTCCAGTCATCTTTTCATAAACAACCCCTTAATCATGTGAAGAATCTGGTTAACTTCAATAGGATCTCCCATTTGGGCAGAATAACCAAGTCCTAACTGCATGCCTGAAGGACAGGGAGGAAAAGAAGGACTACATCACATAAAAGGCATCCTAGCTGTCCTTGTCTTTATGGGCACTGGAATCTACAGAACTGACAGAGCAAGAGACTGAATGTTTTTAAGAAGTTAACATGCAGAAAAATTACTCTGCTGGTCAAAAGAGCTTATTAATCAGCATTCCTAAGCACAGGAATGCATCTCAGCAGTCAGCAATTTATCCTGGTGATTATAGCAATCTATCTGTGGTGCAAATGCCAAAAAGCAAGGGAGGTTTTGGAATGGTTTTTTCTTCGAAATATGGTTTGTAAAGTAAATCTTTTACTACATAACATTGGTGATCCAACAGCCACATCTTTAAGGAAAAAAAAAAGCAGAATCATTAAACCTAGACTGAATTAGAATTTAGACCCATCTCCTTGTCTGGTGTCCCAATTTCAGGCAGAGAACAGACAAAGACAGAAATAAAGCACATGCAATATTCTCCTGCCTGTTACTCTACTCATGCAAACCCTGGATCTGGGACAGCTTGGAATGTACCAAGCAACACCACAGCACGTTTTTTTTTTTTTTGTTCTTTAATAATTCACTAACTCAGATTGTGTCTTGCATTTTAAAACAGTAAACAATCATGATATCACAGTTCAGTAGTGACCTTGAATCTTCCAGTGACACACCACAGAAAAAAATTACTGTCTTTCTGAGCTTTAATTCCAACCATCTAGGAAAAACAAAATGTTTTCCAAACCAAAAGCTTATTCCAGGAACTTAACAAAAGGCTGAAAATCCAAGTGGTGTCAACAGGGTTACATGCTGCTACTTTGAATGAAGGTACCATGTCATAAGTGGAAGACATTACCACAAACATTATTGCAAGCTGTCATAACTCCTTTTATGTTTTCAACTCTCACTTCCAGCAACAACATCCAGCCCAATCTGTATCACAAATTGGTACTGATGTTACATGAGGCAGCTGAGCTGATCCAGCACTTTGCTGGATTAGGCTGGTAAATGAAAGACATTTGTCTTTCTTACCCAATCTGGACTGTATAATTTTCCCTTCTTCTCTTGCTCCACTTCTGGTTGCTTGCTGGACTCTTTCCTGAACCAATGCAGCTTTCCAAGCCAACAGAACACCATTCTCTGTTTGCCTTTTTCTGTATAATGTTGTTAGGATATTGTTGAATGGGCTGAATGAACTCAACTCATAGAGGAGGTCAGACAAGCAGCATAACCAATCTTGGGGAGCAAGCAAAGAGAATTCCACAGCTGGAAGAGGGAGGTTTTTGTCTTTTGAGGACAGAGAAATGTTACATCTTCTCTATCCTTCTCACATCTTTTCACCCCATATGACAGGTACAAAAGTAACCTGGACACCTGCTGCTTCAACTCTGCAGGACATATTTTTCCACTAACAGGGAACTTTCCTCTGATTGACAGATTATTGCACCAAAAGCAATGCCTTTAAAAACAACTCTTTTTCTTCCCTTTCCAAAACTGCTGCTATTTATTTGTCAGCTGACTTTGGGAAACTACACAAAGGCTTTGCAGTGAGAAACCAAAGTCAATAGCATGTGTAGCAATTAATAATGCAAATCACAGAGTCATGAAACTGTAAAGACACGCTGCATGAATCATGCCCATTCCCTGGCTGGGAATTCAGGGAGCGATTAGAATCATAGTACAGACTGTTTATAGTAGGAAGGAAAAGATGACACCTTTCTCTACATTCCCCCACACCCACACCACACACATGAGTCACTGAATTAAGGTGCTACTCTACCTGAAAGGTCACTGCTTTCAATCCTGCGCAGATCTGAGTCAGCCCAGAACAACTTGCCCAGCTGGCTGTCAACAGCTAAGGCGATGGGCTTGCTCAAACCACTGAAGAAAAGGACTTCTCGCTCAGTTCCATCCAGTGCTGCTCTCTCAATTTTAGGAGATCTCTCCTGGAGGTTGGTGAAATACATGTATCTGGAACAGGAATGATTAGAGGAACAAAAAAGTTAAAAAGTTCATTTGATCTTTCCACATTTTTTTGCTATAAATCCAAGACATCTTAACAAATGTCAAAGTTGTTTTTCATTCTGCCAAACAGAAAGCAAGCTGCAGCAAGAAAACAACTCGATTCTCAAAACCCTGGGCCTGAGTTTTCCTACATACCCTTTCTCTGGATTCACCACAATGGCTCTGGGCCTGTCCTGATCCCCCTTGAGCACCACTCCCATGGGTCTCCCATCCAGGCGAGTGACGTTGATGACGTTGGTGGCCTCGCAGGTCCAGTAGATGTAGCGGCTGTAGATGTCAATGCTCAGGTCATAGGGCTGCATATCCAGGTTCTGATTGGGAACTGGACTTGTCACAACAGTGAGGCTCTGCAAAGGGAAGAGAATCAACACACATCTTAATCTAATATGAATAACTTTATTTGCTATGGATGCACCATTTCTACTGCTCAGAAAAAGGAGTGAGCCAAAATATTAGCATAAAGTAAGGAGAGACCCCGGTTCTGCAAAGTCTTCCAGCTTGTAAGACTTTGCAAGTTTGACCAGTAAGTCCAAATTCAGCTGCTGTATTTCCTCTACTTTTTTGACAACTCAGGAGTTCAGTTTGGATCGACCCAATCCCAGCACATTTAACACTCTACAATAGAAATGTAGCACCACTAATTCACAAAGCTCTATTTGAGCAGAGAAAAACAAAGGCAAAGTGAGGCCAGATAGCACTTGAATGCTGGCCTCATTCTTCTCCACTATTGCTGCCATCTCAGTTGGAGGACATGAGGGTGGTTAATAAATGGAAGGCAGCTCTGCCAAAGATGGAAAGGACATCAGCTAATGTACCCTGACTTCAGAGCATTTCCAGCTAACACCTTACTAGTTCAAGGTCTTGCCTTCTACTGGTCTAGACTTCTGGAGCATGCCTTTTTCTTCTTTTTTAATTATTATACTTTTAGAAAGAACCTCATCGACATATTTCATGGACATTTCTAAAATTCTGAAAAGGATTAATAAATCAGTAAACATGGCCTACATAAACATTTTGGAAGCCATGATTATGAAGCGAGCAGCCTCTACCCTCTCATCCCCAAATTAAACTTCACCAGAAAATTTGCCTAACTTTATTTGGCTTGTCACCTCTATGAAATGGTGTGCCTGCAAGTCTTCATTTGTTTATTCTGCTGAAGCTGGCAAAAACATGGTGGCTTTGACTAGTTTTGGGTATTATTTAGATATTCCAAAATTAAAAGCATTGCTAAATTAAGAGTCAAGGCTGAAGGGCATACAGCAGGATCCCACTACTACCACACCCACCACCAGAAACCACACTCTTAAAATTCAACTGAATGTGGCACCTCGCTTTGTTGTGTTGCTCATCTTAGTCTCTCACTTGCCCCACATTCAAAAAGTCAGGAAGAAAAGATCTATTTTAAAATGCAAAATTGAATAAGCAGTCACTGGTCACAGTTAACCTCACTAAACTTTACCATTCTACCTTTGGTAGCTATATACCTTCCTTTCTCTTCCTCTCTCTTTTTCCCCAATTCCTCCCCAACGCATTTTGCTGTGGTCATTCAGTAAAGGTACATCGGGTCTTGATTAATACTGCGCAAACCACTAGGGTGTTTTTTTGCACTCTGAGATCAATCCATGAAACCCATTGGTAAGGCTGGCTTGTGACAGCAGCCCTGAGGATACCTGGCTGCCATCCTCCTGTGCCTTGCGGATGATGTTCTGCCGCGAGTCGATCCAGTAGAGCTGCTTGTCCAGGGGGTCGTAGTCGATGGCGCGCACGTTGCGCAGGCTGTGGATGGGCAGGATGATGTCCGGGCTCTGCTGCTCGTCTATCACCATGCGGTTGATGGCGTTCTTCTGGCTGAACAACAGGAACGTGGTAGGAGCTGCATGGGTTAAAAAAGAAAAGGGGTTGAAAGGGTTACACGTGGCAATAACACTGGGCAATGACATTTTTATGTCTAAGAATGATAACTACAATCCATAACTAGACATTTATTTCATTCCCCTTTTCCCTCTTCCTTTGCCAAAACCAAACAAAAAAATCAAACATAACAATCCCAATCTCTGATGAGTATGAAAAGCCTTTCAAATTAACTCTTTTTACTGTAAATGTCTGTATGTGAATTTGATAGGCAAAGATCAGATTTTTTAAGCGGAAGGACTAGTGAATGTGAAGACTTCTGTCAAAAGCAGTAACACTGGGCATTTTTATGTTTAAGAATGACAACTACAATCCATAACTAGACATTTTTTCATTCCCCTTTTCCCTCTTCCTTTGCCAAAACCAAACAAAAAAATCAAACATAACAATCCCAATCTCTGATGAGTATGAAAAGCCTTTCAGATTAACTCTTTTTACTGTAAATGTCTGTATGTGAATTTGATAGGCAAAGATCAGATTTTTTAAGTGGAAGGACTAGTGAATGCAAAGATTTCTGTCAAAAGCATCTCAAATAAGAATGGTCAAATATGCCTCTCAAAGAACTGTGCATTTTCTTTCTAAAGGGGTCTCAGGTCAATGCAGCTCCACTATATTGAACTCTTTATTAGGTGCACTCATACTTGCAGAGGAAGGTAAGAAAAATCCAGCACTCATTCCTTATTTAGATGTTTCAGGGGAAAGAGATTGACAGTGGTTCAGTCCTGTCCCTACAAATCCTTTTTCTGCCTGTACTGGAATGAAACAACTAATTCACAGGAAAATTTCTGAACTGTGTGTGAGGCTGTGCTTTTAGAGAAAAATGCATTTGCTCTTCTCAAAGCTATGCATATTTACTATTTCTAGGTGGTTATCTGGGAATGACAGCCTGCAGTGAGAAAAAGAAATCTCATATTCTGCCCTGCAAAAATTTCCTGGACAAATGTTTGTTCTTTGTAATTAGAAATACCATCAAAGAGCAGAAGGTAAGATTTCAACACCCCATACAGCTGTAAATACTTACAGTAAATACACAAAACATTTAATACATCACATCACTGAGAAAAATTATCTGTGTATTACATAGCTGGGTCAGAAATCAGAGAAGGTAGTGAAAGCATTTTCCTTTTTCAGAGGTTTCTTTTCAATAATGCTCTACCTGAAGCCACTGCTGTGCAAGATGGTACAAGAGCAAATTGCCAGAAATGCAGCTTGAAGCCTCCCTGAAGTTTGTACAATCAATTCTCTACAGCCCAAGCCTGTAGAGAGATTAGCAGTGGGACACTGCATTCATTTACCAGCCTGTAAAACAGGTAATGCAGCACCTGGGAAAGGGGAGGAAGCCAAAGTCTCCTAGAGAACATCATCACCTTGCTTTGTTATTTTAGCACAGCTTTGAACAGCTATTCTGACTGCTGGGGAAAAAAAAAAAGCAGGGAGGAGTTTCCTTGGAAACCAACACTCTCTCCTAACATCCTATAACAATCAGGCCTAATTGCAAGGTATTTTTGCTTTCTGGAAAATCTCTATTTTCCCTCCAAACACTTCTCCAATAATTTCAGCTGCCTTCTACTTAACTCTAAACCGTGTAAGAAAGCACAAAAAGAAATAAAGTGAAGATAAGTTTATATGAATGAGTACAGCAGAATAATGGATTCAGAAACATCAGAATTCTTACCAAGAAATTATGATAGAAATGGAAAGGGAAAAAACTTAAGGTAAAACAATGCAGGTAAACATGTAAGCACCTAAAATTATTTCTACTCTTCCCCAAAGATACCCTCTCACTTTCTAAGACTGCCTGGCTTACAACTTTGAATTGATGGCTCATTATAAAAAGCAACAGCAGAATTTCTCCCCTTGAGACTCCACATCTCTGAAACAGTACCAATTTCAGAAATCCCTTTCCAGTTTTCCTCATTCTCCCTCTCAACAGTCACATATTTTAACTGTATTTTTGGCAGCAGGCAAATGGAGTGCATTGAGTATGTCTCCTGTGTAACCCTGCCTTCCAACTTCATGACACGTGGTAGGTCTGAAGAGATCTCACCAGAGTATAATTAAAAGAACTATGCATGCATGAGCAGGGGGTTCTGGAAGGGAGGACCTCCAGACAGGGCCTGGACTAATAATGTTCAGGAGGTACATAAGCAAGTAATACAGGCAAAAGAAAGTTAAAACAATTCATGCTCCAATTACAATGTCCAAAAAAACGAATTAAATTATACACAGAGAGGCACCTAAATCTCCAATTAGCTACAAATGAGAAGCTGGAAATTTCCCAGGTTTGAATATAGCAGAGGAAAACTCCTAATACCACACAAAGAGCCCTGAACTGTACCCTGGGGAAATGGTTCTATTTGCTTACAATGTATTTCCTGTATTTTGCTCCTTGCTCTTTTTTTCAGGAGCATTTTCACAAGAAAAACATGACCTTTGATTATTCTGCTACTTTTTCTCCACTGCAAGTCAAATTCCTCCACCTAGAAGATCACAGTCCCTATCAGAGAGGTGCCTCTAACTTGCACAAACATGTGAAAGTATCAGGGTGCAAGAATCCAGCTGTCATGCAGGGGCCATTGTAATTAAAAAACAAGAGAAGTCCAGAACATATAGGGAGTAGAAAAGCACAGTTTTTGGAAAAGCATGGTTTTCAAAAAATGCCATGAGGTGGCATTTGTGCAACAATCTGCCCAGCTTTTGGCTTTAAGACAACAGTTGGATGTCTCTACTCATGCATAATGTGGATGAGATACAATCTGTCTCTCTGTACTAGGAATCTCTTCACCCACTGACTAATGTGAATGACACCAGTGGAAATCAGCCATCCAGAGTTGTTGCCAAAATTATGAGAGCTTTACTGCAGCCAGTTATTGAGAGATGGATAAATTATTTGGTTAGAAACTAATTACACACAGCCTGAGGGGCCTTGTGGTTTGTATTCTGCACAACAATAAAGAAAAATGGGGCTTGGCTGCACTGAGATCAGGAACCAGACTGCTGGGGATGCCATGGAGCCCAACCCATCCTCACTGAGGAAAAACACTTGTAGAGGTCTGAGAGTGGCCCACCTCAGCATCTCATCAGCCAGCAAACACAGCTACTGCAGAATGAAATCCTGACCTCATAAAAGCTGCACAAAGTCTGGAATCCAGACTAAAGTATCACATATCCTTTATGCCAGGCAAGACTAGTAAGATATAAGTAGATAAATAAACAAGTAAGTAAGCACTTGAAGAGGGTCTGACAGAGACACAGAACCAAAACATTTTTAGCTTTTGTGTTTACACAGATGTGGCCAAGCCACTGGAAAAGTTCACTAACAGCCATTCTTCTTATTTAATTAAGATATTGGTATGTTGCAAGTTTATTTTCTTGGGGTTTTTTTGCTTTCAACATCCTATGTTGTCTTAAAACTCAGTAAGATATTACTAGTGGAAAACTGTAAAACTCTTCTTTCCTCCCAGTACAATGCTGGCATGGGTCACTAAACACATGTGCTCCTGCACTTCCTGTTCATTCCCTATGGCTTTCTGTCAGAACCCAGGAAATTCCTCTGGCTGCCCTGGAGGACTCGAGCCCCTGCCCAGGGGGCTCAGAGACCTTGGCACAGAGCCCAAGACCCCTGTGCCTGTGATTTAGCCCTTGGATAAAACAATTACCAACCTCATGTGAAGAATTACAAGCCATGAAAGTTTAAGTAGAATGACAGTGAGTTTATCATGGGGTGAAAAATAGATTTTTGGGGTTTTTAGAATGGGGGTTCAGGGGGCAGGCAGAGTGCCTCTTGCTGAGCAGAGTTCGGCAGGACAGGAGAAAGAATTTTATAGATAAGATACAATAAACAACCTTGAGAATGAGAAATGAAGAGTTCTGATTGCTTCTTTGACTGCAGGGCTGGGAAAAGAGACTTTCTAACCTGTGACAGTGTTCACAGGGGTTTTCAGATTGGGGAAGAGATGAGGATCTGACTCTGTTTCAGAAGGCTTGATTTATTATTTTATGATATATATTACCTTAAAACTATACTAAAAGAATAGAAGAATAGGTCCTCATCAGAAGGCCAGCTAAGAATAGAATAGAAAAGAATGATAACAAAAACTTCTGTCTCGGACAGAGAGTCCAAGCTAGCTGACTGTGATTGGCCATTAATTAGAAACAACCACATGAGACCAATCACAGATGCACCTGTTGCATTCCACAGCAGCAGATAACCATTGTTTACATTTTGTTCCTCAGGCCTCTCAGCTTCTCAGGAGGAAAAATCCTAAGGAAAGGATTTTCCATAAAAGATGTCTGCGACACTAGCCTATCTCAAGGTCACTGTGAGCAGCCAGAGACCCCTATGGCTTACCACTGCAGGTCCTGTTGTCAGAGTTCAAGGAATAGTGAGCTGGGCAGCCACAGACAAAGCCTCCCACGGGGACAGCCAGGCACAGGTGGGAGCAGTGCCCGTTGCTGGAGGCACACTCGTTCCAGCCCGCCTGCCGGGAGGAGTGGAACACCAGGATGTCCATCACGTAATCCAGGTGGCCCTGGATGATGGTTCGGTTCTGCCCGCTGGTCTTGTTGGCGCGCTCGATGCTGCGGCGGCTCCAGTCTGTCCAGTAAATGTAATCCTGGTACTGGGTCAGGCCAAAGGGGTGAGGCAGATCATCAGCTATGATCTCACGGTCCAGGCCTGTGTAAAAAACAAGGGACAGAAAATGGGGTTACGTGGGCACAAGCAGTGCACTGCTGAACGTGTCCCTGCCCAGAAAGGTTAGCACGCAATTACTTTAAAGAGTAAATGACAAAGTAGTGGACAGCAGTCAAAAGGAATCTCAGCCTATCACAGAAATGTGCTAATCCTGCTTGCCATTCACAGAAAAATGTGCTTTACTGAAGAAAAAATGTCAATGCTGAAAGGTATCAGGGGTCTCAGAAAGATTCTGTCCGTCATGTCATGTCATATGTCATGACGTGATAAACAATCTCCAACCACATTCCAAAGCAGCAAAACACATGAGAAGCAAATGAGATAGTATTGTTTTCTTTTTCTCTAAGGCTTCTCAGCTTCCCAGGAGAAGAATCCTGGGCAAGGGGATTTTTCAAAAAATATAATGGTAACACCCTCCTTCCCAAACTGACAGGATGCCTCTCAATCTAATGCAGGATGCTGACACTGTATTTCCAGTTGAGCATCTCTTGCACCACACTTTCCCCACTGCTTATAAAAAGAAAATTGATATGAACTTAATGAAATACTCCATTGCATTATGAGAAAAATTAAATGTACAAGGCTAAAATAACTTGTCTGTGGAATGTCACAACATTCCAGAGCAGCCAGAAAGTCAGGACAGGGAACAGCTAATTGTGTATACCATGGAAATGTTAAGAGATCTTAAGGAGCAAGAAATGGCAAGGGGAAATTATTTCAACTCTGTTTTATTAGCTACTTCATTACCATAGTACCTCCTGCTGTGTGCTTACACAAAATGAACAGGCGATTATGAAGCACAAAGTCATTCCCTCTTTGCACACAGAAGTCAAGGATGCACAGCCCCACACTCTGCTGTCACCAGCCACAGGCACAGGGAAAAAGAGGCTCTAATACTGTTTCCAATCCCACATTTCAGAGGGAAACATGCAGCAGGCCTCCACAGCACACCAAAATATATGAGAAGCTAAAGAAAAGCTTTTCTATCACACATAATTCCCATATTGCATTTTCCTGTTTTGATCTTTTTCTAGCTTTGTTCCACTACTGCAAGTATACTGTTTAAAGTAGACTAACTCCTTTAGCATTAAATACTGGCTAATTAATAATGCTTAAATATTGGCTATTGTTAATGCTAATCTGAATAATTTAGTATACAACAAGGCAGTTCAGTCCTGTGGGTGCTGAGAAGTTAAAACAAGGTACTGTGCAAATCTGAGAGGGCCTAGGTCCTCCACACAGTACTTTTGAACAGTGAAAGAACAAAATATTCCACCTCCATTTAGCTGCAAAATCATCACAGACTCCAGCACAAGAGAACTCTCCTGCTGATAAGCACTAGCCAGGAAAAGGTCCTCAACATGCAGGATACAGGGGGAGAAAATGCCTGAGGATACTAACAAAGATATAAAACCAAATTGTATTAAATTTCATGTTGAATAAGATGTTGTTGTCCTCTTGTTGTTTCTTTTTACCTTTGTTAAGTATTTTCTAGTGCTCTTGAGAGTAGCAAAACAAGAACCTCCAAAACACTGCAAGATGACATCTTTGTCCTACATATAACTGGAAATACGTACACCTTGTGTAATTTTAACTTTCTGAGCAACCCAATCACAAGAAAATCGAGGCCTTGCTAACCACAGTGTCACATGAACGTGAATTACAGAAGCAAACATTAAAGGCGTGCGAGGTCGGGAAATTTTATTTCTGTCTGATGATGTGTATCTTTGCATTATTTAAGCCACAATTTGCCATGAGGGATCTGCAAAAAGCAGCATGGCCCTGAGGATGCTGCCCATGGCTCTGGGGCTCACCTAACATGTTGGAGGACTCTATGAGGTTGGTGTCCAGGTCGGTCCAGTAGAGGCGCCTCTTGGCGTAGTCGATGGTCAGGCCGTTGGCGCGCCCCACGTTTGGGACCAGCGTGGTTCTCTCACTGCCATCCATGGCAGCCCTGTCAATCTTGGGCTTGCCACCCCACTCAGTCCAGTACATGAACCTGGTGAGGACAAAAGAAAGAAAAGTAATTGCATTCAATCCAAGAGAACTCAAGAGGAAAACCAAAACAAAAATCCTTAGAAAGCATAAGAGAAAAAGAAGAGCTGTAAATTCAAGCATTGTGCTAAATTAGGTTGTTTTTTTTTTTCCAAAGTGTAGTCAAGTTTCCTCAAAATGCTTCTAAGATTATTTTTTCCCACTTGGATCTGGATTTTCACCAGCAAGTTCTGTGTGACAACACTTTGCTAGTAACTAATCTGTGTATGTCATTTAAGAGGCAGAGGCTGGCAGTCAGGCACCTTCATTATACCCGGTTATTTAGCAGGTGTTTTTGCAGAGCACTTATCTTCTGTTTCTAGTCAGTTGTCTCTCAAATGAAGGAACACAAAAAGGTAGATCTGCAGGGTACTTTTGTTAAAAGGTGCCACCACTCATGTCCACACAACTAAGTCATCACATGTACACAAGTGACTTACATCTCAGCCAAGACACACAAATCTGTGTGCAATTTCCACTAGAGCAAAAATACAATTATTACATACTCACATACCAGCTTATGCCTCATCTGGAAGAAGGACAGACTTGCACATGTCTACATTTTCTTTAGGCAATGCACAGTAGAGTAGGATGTATATTTGTGTATTATATACTTGATGGCTAGTTAGTCACTTCTTCCAAAATATGAGGCTGATACCATTCCAAAACAAAAGTGAGAAGCAGCTATCCAATACTTATACCTTTGAGTTTTAATAACTCTAATAACAATGCCCTGTGAAGCCTTTTAGTTCCAACCAACTGCACAATAGGAAAGGTTGCCTCAGACACTGATGATCAATGGGGAGAAGTTCACTGGACACCAGGAATACATGCAAACTTTTCTTAAAATTTTTGCAAGTACTTTGGCTATAAATTTTGCAAGTTGGACACAGCACGAAGCCAAGTTTAGAATTGCCCCCATGGCAGCAATGTCTTGGAAAACTTCCATTTAAAGTACAACTATACTGTATATTTATATAAGTATACATAATATATAAGTATAGATAATCTATAAGTATACAGCTATACTATTGCTGTAAGGAAAAAGGGGCATTTTGACCCAAGTAATTTTTTTTCTAATCTGTGGTGTAGAGACAAAGCATTGAATGATGATAATCCTTGGGAAAAACCTACTTCCAGTATAAAACCAGAATCATCCAGAGCAGCCTTTTGTTACAAATGAGTAACTGGATCTAAGAATCTGATGTGGAATTCTCATCCAGGCAACCCCTGGCACATCAGAGCTGAATCCAATCTAGAATCCCACTGGAGGTGACCATTGTCACCACCTTGTTGAAATAAAGGAGAAAGAATGTGTTTCAAGTTCTCTGTGTTGCTGTAGCTCTCACAGTGTGACTGGGAACTGTGATAATGTCATAACCCTTGTAAATGAAGTTCCTTAATTTGAAAAATAATGCAATATTGGTATAACCTCAAAAAAATTTTGCACTAATTAGTTATTGTCGAGTGAGGATTTCAGGGTAGAAGAACTATTTCAGAAGCTGAACAGTTAGCTTGACTTGCCCCATTCCTTCCTCCCTCTCCCTGTTTATTGCCCTACTTTTGCTATCACACTTCAATCCAACTGAGAAGTTTCTTCTCAGAAAATCTTTCATTTGGAGCATAGGTGAATACAACTGCTTCCATTCCTTCTCTGTCCTTCTTCCTTTGTCTGTACAAACGAAAAGGTTTCCTTATCTGAAGAAATAAATCCCTTCCTTATGCTCAGACTATAAACTTTGCTCTCCCACCCTCAAATTAAATCATTTAATGCCTTCATTGGACCCTAACTTGTGATAAAAAGAATCCTAATTTCTAAAATGATAAATATATTCCTTTCAATGCTATAGTCCTTTTCTGATTAATGAATTCCATAAACCTACAACTACTTTGATTCTGTGGTTAATTAAAAAACTAAATATAAATCCCTTTCTAATGAGCTGCTCTGAATTTTATTTTTATTTTTTTTAGTATTTTTAATGATTATTCAGGACGTTAAGAGTGTATTTCTCTAAATTACCAGGTTGTATTCCCCAGCTCAGTTCTCTCAGGGTTTACAGGCAGCGCTTCACTACCATGCCCTAGAGGAAGCATGGCAATGTTGTTTTTCTCTGTTCACAAACACAGAATTAAACCAGCGAGTTACCCCTCAGCAGGGTCGAGCGCCAGCGCCCGGGGGCTGTCGAGATCCTTCCAGACGAGCACCTGGCGGTGCTGCCCGTCCAGCTTGGACACCTCGATCCTGTTGGTGCCAGTGTCAGCCCAGTACAAGTTCTTCCCCAGCCAGTCCACGGCCATGCCCTCGGGGTAATCCAGGCCAAACTCCACCACGTGCTCCAGCGCGCTGCCATTCATGAACGCTCTGCTGATGGTCTGCGGGGATGCAAAGATACACAGGCAAATCAGAGAACTTACCAGTCTGTCACTGGGCTGCTCGTTTTCTTTGTTGGATTTTAAACACCTTCAGATTTTAGGCATCTCATAGGAAAGAGGATCTTACAATCTGCTACTTATTTGCAAAGCAAACAACGCTGCTATTCAGAAGTAATGATTTACTGCGCTCTGTGAATGTATTCTGTGTCAATTACAATAGCATTTCACTGGGGAAATAAATGGGATAACTAGTCTGCTTGAATTAAGCATCTACATGACAAAGTGACCTTAATAACTCAGTGCCAACTTCGAGGGGGAAATATTTTGGCTCTCCCAGGACTATACAAAAGCATCAATGCTATAGCACGGAACACTATTTAAAGCAGCCTAATGAAACAAAAGTGCAGGACAGAACAGCAAATGGAAGAAAACAACCAAATGACTGATGAGCTCAGTAGCTTCAGTACTGATGGCTAAATTTAATTTCACTAAACACAATCTCTTCCTGGACTTTTATTCAAAAGACTTGTTTAAACTCTGCCATCAGGATCAGCCTGTGATAGCAGATACAGCCAGAATTCCATTTTAATAATATATTAGAGTTTAGGCTATTAGAGTTTAGGCATTCCCTGATAAGCCTGAAAATGTTAGAATAGTACAGAATTCTTTTGGCAAACATGGGTTACCTTTCCCCATACCTTTCAATATTTCTATCTGCACACACTCCTCATACTCACAACCAATCAGAAGTTAACAAATCCCTGATTTTGGTTTATTTCCTAGTTTGAACACAACCTGCTAATTATGCCAGTTTGTGACAGCACTATAAACATAAACAGCATCTATAAACAGAAGGGCAGTTTAGAGATCAGTCTTCACGTGTATCACTTATGCAGCTCAAAAGAATATCATGCTTAGGGAGTTCAGCCAAGTCACCTCTGGCAGACTCATTTAAACTCTGTGTTTTTAACTACTATGATTCTCCAATTGCAAAAGTCCATAAGTTATTGTTGGCACATGTCTCAAGTCAGTTGCAGAAAATGTAATTAAAAACGAAACTCTTTTACATATCCCTTGAATTTTGTAAACCCCATTAATCAACCTACTCTTAAAGACCTCAAGGAGTATAACAGCCAACATGGGCTGAATCTCTACCTTCAGTGAAATGTCTGTCCAGTAAATACGATTGTCTGTCACATCAAAATCCAGAGCAGAAGCCTCCTTGACTCCGGTGAGCGGGATAGCCACGTTGTTATTGTTGGTTTCGAGGGAGATGCGCCTGATGTCTGCCCTCCTGGAGAAGAGCAGGAAAGCTTCTGGCACGATGCAGGTCCTCATGTCACTGATGAGCTCCAGGCCGATGGGGCAGGCGCAGCGGAGCCCTTGGGGTCGGTACAGGCACAGGTGGCTGCAGCCCCCGTTGTCCTCTGCACAGGGGTTGGTACCTAAGCAGGCAGAGAGGAAAAGCAACCATTGCAAACTGCCTGCAGTGAAAGGTGAGCTAGTCCTCACAGGCATCAGCCACACTATGAGTCCTCCAAGCAAACATGCAGTTTTTCTCCTTGTATTCTCTGATCAAATTATTTTTCATTCATTTCCTGTAATTTTTTAGACAGACCTTACTCTCCTTTCCTCACGCCAAGAAGCAAACCCAGCACTAGGGAAAGGGAAAGGGATCTGGGCTTCAGCAGCTACCGATGATCCCAATTCACAGCACAAGCACTGCATGCATGGTAGCTGTATGTTCTGCTGCCTTTTACAGTACACTGGTCCAGCCACATACCCCCTTGCATTCCTGCAGGTAAAAAACTTGCAGAGCTATTTTCACATCCATTCAACAGTCTCTCCAGGATGCAAGTGAAGCAGTTCTTTGCAGTACTCACTTATGTACATGCTGGAAATTGAACTGAGAGAGGCTTGGCACTAAGCAGTTCAATTGGCCAAAGTTGCAAAGAGGGCTGCATTCAAAACAGGGTACCTTGGGGCATCAGTCACACAAAGATACATAGCAACTACATTTTACTCCTTTCCTGCAGTACAATCCAGACACAACAGCAAGAAGCTGCAAGCCTTATCCATATAGCAGGATACTCAGGTACTCTGATGAGTTCTGTGATGCTACAATTATACTGCTACCAGTGCTTGGATAGCCTAGGATAGGCAATTTAAAGCTAGATGCTACTTTTTTACAGCACAAATGCTACAGGACAGGAAGTATTTCTAAATATTTTTAAAGAGAATTTTCTAATATTAACGTAGAAACTATCGAATGGACTAAAACTGACTCATTCGTAGCTTTTGCATACTGGGAGCACATGTTCAGCTTGATATTCTTCCAAGCTACAGAACTGAAGCTCCTCACAGAAGACCCAACCTATTGTATTTGCTGGGAAATGTCCCAACAAAGGCAGGAATGGTGGATCTGACTCCAGGTTCTCAGAAGGCTAATTTATTATTTTATGATACTATATTATATTAAAGAATACTATACTATACTAAAGAATGCAGATACTTATTAAATGCTAAAAAGTTAATAATGAAAACTCCTGACTCTTTCCAGAGTCCTGACACAGCTTGGCCCTGATTGGCCAATGAGTCAAGCAACTCACACCAGAAACCAATGAAACAATCACCTATGTTTTGTGAAACAAACATATTCTAGATGAGCAAAACACAGGAGAAGCAAATGAGATAAAAATTGTTTTCTTTTCCTCTAAGGCTTCTCAGCTGGGCGAAGGGATTTTTTCAGAGAATGTCAATGCTACACTAACCCACCCACCCTATCAAGCTGCAGCCTGCATTGCCACGGGACTGAATTCTGCCCATTTCTAAAACTGCAGTACAGCAGTGCTGACATTTTCCATCCCACTGTCCCTTGGGGGATTAGCAGCCCACTCACCGATGACCTGATGGACGTTGGTGGCTTTCAGGCCCATCAGGTCAGGCAGCTGATCGATGATGATCTCCCTCTCTGCCGTGCACTTGTGCACGCGCTCAATGCTGCGCCTCTGCCAGTCTGTCCAGTAAATGTAGTCTCCCAACAGAGTGAATCCAAAGATATGAGGCAGCTTGTCCTCCACCAGGACTCTCCTGCCAGTTCCATCAGCATTCATGACCTAGGAATATAGACAAACTTTTTAGATATATAGAATAAACCTGCCACTATTTGGAAGATGAACAAACTAGCTGCTTCATGCTCAGACTTCAAATTAAAAAATAATCTCCTATGCATTATAATGTCATCAATGTTACACAGCATCCTAATAAAAAAGAAGAGACTCTTTATTAACAGGTACTTACTCTAAAAGTCTTATTTAGAAGGTTAGTCTTGTAACCAGATCTTAATGTGGAATTATGACACAACACTTGTTACCTTTGCTTTAGGAACTATTATTATGTAATAATAGTTACTCCTGTTATGACTCTCTCATTTCTGACATGAGTTTTGGTTCAGTTTTAAAGAGGAGTCACTGTGTTTTACACAAATGAAGACAAATTTATGGCCAAGGAGTTCTGGCTCAGCACCTTCTAGTCCACAGTCCCTCCCAAGTGAGCTTTGCCCATATTACAGAGAGCATTGAGAGGAGGCCCCACACAATTACTGGGAGGCAGACACTGAAGAAGATCCACAGAGTATATTTATATTCCCCAGTATATTTCTATTCCCCAGTCTGAATAAGGAACCAGTTTTACATTCTTCAAAATTAAGTACAGTAATTTTTTTTTTACTACAAGGAACAGCTGTGGTCTGTAAATAATTGCATGCCTTTGATTGAGACACTTGAATTTACTGTGTCATTTTTCTCTACAGCTAAAAAGGAGTAATACCTAACTTCCTCAGTGAGGCACTGAAACGATTAATTAAACATATGTATGCATGTTCAAGTGATGGAGTGCCTTATGAATGCCAGGTATTATTATAAAATGTACCATACTGACAGGGGCAAAGAGTCCCATGTTTTAAGACAAGCTTAAAAATGGTTCAGTGCTGCAATTTTTCAAAAAAAATCCTTCTGAAATATTTCTACTTGTTTCAAGGCCATAGCTTAAGTTTACAGTATGTATACCACTCTTCCAAAACCAGGAAAAAACCTCCAACCAACCTTACTATAAAAACTTTCAGAAACAATGTGATTTATAAAATCCAAGGTAGCATACTAATCTCTGAAACGTTAAAGCATCCTTCCCACCACCCCAAGCATGTTCTAAGTGAATGACTGGAAAAGGGGTGGTTTATTAAACCAAATCTCTCTCACTTATAACCACATCCAAATCTCTATGGCTTCCCATCCTTCCCATGGCTCAAACCCAAAGATTTATGCAATGACAACCTTCAGGATCAACTGGTTTAGTACCTCAGACTAGACTGATGATAGCTGGTGGCCAGAATATCTTCCCAGATCACAAGAAATGTAAAGGCTAGTTTGGAGCAACTCCTACCCAGACACATATGAGAAGAAAGGAATAGAGCAATGGAACTGAAATACACACCTTTCCAGGACACAGTATAATAAAATATTTATAAATTCTCTTTAAAAAGTGGAAGAAATGCTATAATCTTCACAATAATTCAATTTCTCCTCAAAACTATACCTTGTCAAACTTCCCAACATTTTGGCACTTACTCTCAGTATATTAGAATAGGAACTTAATCTTTATGTGCACATTTCCCTAAAGGAACACTGCATATTTGCTGGATTGTAGGAATAAGCTCCATATTTACTTTTGAAGAAAGGTCATAATTTCTTGAGGGAATTAGCTTACCAAAACCCTTCAGTCCAGCAGAATATACAGCATGCTCCTACAAATGCACTAATATCTCAAAAATAGATTACTTGTCTGTGGTGACTTGTTCCCCCTCCCCCTTAAACTACAGAGATAAGCCATTTGTTTGCAACTAATTAATACATGGCAATTAGCGCTTGCTGAGCAGACCAAGAAGATCCACAGAATGGAAGGATGTTGAAAAGTGAACCAACCAAAACCACACAGTAATAAGCAATAAAACATCACCATCACAAAGTAGCATTTTTTAAAATTACATTTTTTTGCCTTGTATTTATAAAAGAAAGAAAATTCCTTATTTAAGGGAGTGCTTAACTACTGACAAAGAAAATTAAGTTGGAAAGTGTGGGGTGTGAGATGAACTTTCTTTGGCAAACTTGAAGAGTTGTTCAAATAAGCTTCCCCTATACTGAAATGAGTCAGGAAAAGAGAAGGTACTTAAGGATTAAATATCTGCTTTTAATTAATTTTTGGTTTGACACATAAAGGCTATTTTGAAAGACAGCTTTACATCTCCTAGACAAAACAAGCACCTTTCTGTAAAAGTATTTACATATATCTGCCACTCTGCTCCTGCTGCAATTTTACCTGATATACACATATACACACACACACACACACATTTATGGTAGCAGCCATATATATGTGTGTGTATATATATATATAGATATATTAGATATATTTCAAACATATATATATATAATTTTTTTTTCCATGGCACCATGTTGTCTGCACTGACTTTGGCTGCCTGTTAGGTGATTTCAATAGAATTACATCCATTGGCTACAGAATCAAAGAGTCTGGTGTAAGGCAGAAGGGAAGTGGCAAGGGATGTAGGGGTGATATGTACAAGAAGAATAAAGCAAAATGGAACAATCACCTAACAACCAGTTTCAAGAGATTGCAGCATCACCTTTTCACATACTCACACTCAGGCAACAACCAAGTGCCAGGCTATAATCTCTGCTGGATTCTTCCCCCTTCCCCAGCTCCACATGGATGAGGCTCCTCACAGTGAAGCTCCACAGAATGCCCCACACTATAAATCCACCTTCAGCTGCTATGAGGCAGTGTCTCCAGAGGTTTATGCTGCTTTTAACCACAATGTGGTGTGAGTTTCACATTCTGAGGCCATTCTGAATACTGCAAATCACACTGAGAATATAGGCTACAACAGGAAACAGATGTGCTGTAACCACAAACACCACCTTTACTGAAAGAGCGAGTAGTTCCATGAAAAAAAACCCTAAAAGTGCAAAAATTAACTGGCCTCAGACAAAATACCAGATATCCTGCTTGAAGAATAAGGGCTTTGTTTATCCTACAACAATAATGAATGCAAACCTATAGCCTCATGAACACACAGCTTATTCAAAGTAAGTGAATTACTGCTGAGAATGTAGTCACATTTTAAAATGCTGTACTTAGTGATCGGGAGGAACAATAAAATAACAACTTTGAAGCACTACTTCTAATTTAAAGTTACAGTCTGGAATGCACAGTGACATATTCTAAGGGTCTTTCTTGTTAGAAAGATACCTTGCATTCAATTCACTTCTCAGTAGCAGTAATCACTGGGATAAATAGGTTAATGCAGTGAATTTACCTTTCTGATAATCTGGGATTTGAATTTATGGCAGTTTAAACTTGTCACTTGACTGCTTTAGGTCTAGAGTTTCATCATGAAATCTATCTCATTTATGAAAACCGTGTTCAGCTCTGTGTGGAGCTTGTGCTGGGGCCCTGGCAGCACTGCAGACTAGCAGTCCCCTCAGGGGCAGCGCACCAAGGGCAGGAGACACTGAGCAGATGTGACAGGTTTATGTGCACTGCGCTGAGGAGATGCCCACCACAGAAAGGGTCTGTCCCTACCAGGGATGCCGAGCTCAATTCCAAACTAAGAGCTCAGTCCTACAAGGTGTCAAGACTGAGATGAAGGTGACAGAGTGCAGAGTGCATTATCTTTCATCTTAACTCATAAACACAGCTCAACATTCAGCACAGAACTACAGAATCATAGACCAGCCCAGGTTGGAAGAACCCCTGAAAGATCATCGGGTCCATTTTTTTGTGGGAAAGAAGCCTAGATAAGATTATCCAGCATCCTGTCCAGTTACATCTTGAAAACTTCTAGTAAGGGGAGGGACTCCACTACATGCCTCAGTAAAGTATTTCTTTCTTATATTAAAATGACACTACATGCCTCAGTAAAGTATTTCTTTCTTATATTAAAATGAAACCTCCCTCAAGGCACCTTGTACCAGTTGTCCCTGTCCTCTCCAATGTGGCACCATCCATGTACCAGGAGAGCCTCCCTCCTCCTCCCTGAGCACTGGATAAATGTGAGCCTTCTCTTCCCCATGGAGAAAAGACCAAACCTCTTCTGTCTTTCCTCACAGGGTGGGATCTCATCATTCCTCTAGGTGCTCTCCACTCTCCCTGCAGCTCCTCTAATTTCAGATACTTGAACCTAAGCCCTGATTTTTAAAATAATTTTTTTTAATTTGTTTTTGAACAAATGACAGATACCTTAGCCATTATTGATTCCTGAACCTCAGCATCTTTACCAGCACCACCTTACTCATCATCAGAGAGGCCAGAAGACCTCAGTTAATATGCAGGACCTCAATTGCTCTGCTCAAGTATTACTGCCATCACTGCCCCAGCTCTACAACATTTTTATCAAGCATCACAGCTGAAAAGGATCTTCCCCCACTGAGTCACAGGAAGGATGCAATTGTAGCATTCACTTTTCTTCTGGAAAGAAAAGGAATTAGAAAGATTTCTGACCCCATGGCATAACAAACACTACATAAATAAGATTTATTTGGTTAAAGAAATTTGAGCAGCATCTCTCTTAAAAATAACTCTAAAAGATAGCTGGAATGCCTTATAATCATTATATTTGCATTTTTTGGACTGGGTTTAAGAACAATGTATTTTCAACTTCTCTAAGACAGACTGGAATAATTTCACTGTTATGACTGCAGCAATATCATATAATTAACACATTTATTTACTGCAAAACAGCTGCTCTAAGAGAGAAACAAAGAGATATCTTGTCTAAATTTCCAATTTTATTAGTAAAAAAAGTCTTGATCAACTATACTCTCTTTAAGCGAACAACTGAAGCTTTCAACTCAGTTTGAAGAAATCATTCTGTCATTGTCATTTATTTACTATTAACAGTATTTCTCCTCAATTCTAAAACATTAAGGAATGAAATGGGAAGTCCTCTCTTCATTGTGGTGAAATGCTGAGGAATCAGCAGAAGGGATCCCTGGAACCCTTTGGATTTGCTTCAGAAACCAAATGCCTCCAGCCAAGTCCA